GAGCTCCAACAGCATGAGTCACTCCTTCCACACACTTGGGCACAGACCCCGGGGGTCTTATCATGTGCCACATTATAGGCCTTGCGTCTCACCAATCATGTCACAAGCTACATGACAGCAAACTTGTCTCCACATCTTCTGTGTCCCCCATGGCCCTGGCTCTCCAGTTGGGAACTTCGCAAACCACAGGCTTTCATGTTTTCCTTTGGAAGACTAGCACAGAACTGCCAACTTTTTCTTTTATCAAACGAACACATTTTTTAATTACGTGGTCATAAACGAAGGCACATTTTAACACTAAGAACGGAGAAAGAACATAATCCTAGAATAAACTTTTGAAATCACTGCCGTATTGCTAAGCTTATTCCATTTCTAAAGTTGCTTATTCAACTTTGAATGGAATAAGCTTAGCAGTATAGAAAAACTCACCACATTTTTCTTTTTCTCTGTTTCAGAAAGTCTCAGAATAAAAGGACAATCTTTTCCACGGAAGAAATTTAGCCAGATGGAAAATTCATCACATGTCTTTTTCAGTTCACAGGGGGCAGGTGGCCACTTTATCTACATCCATCCCAGCATTTGGGAGCCACTGTCTACAGCCCCTCACCAGGGCTGAGCTCCGCTCAAGTGAGTGGAGTGGTCCTTTGATCTCTTGCTTTGGTTATTGGCGGGAGAAGCTATCCTGAGTGTCCTCTCACCAGATGGGGCCTGGCATCCATGGACATGTCTGGCCCATGTCTGACCCCACACTCAGCCTTCTATCCCCTTAGACTTTGTCTCAGACATTTGCCTTGATTTTTTTTTTTTTTTTAATGACCCCTGCCTAAGCAGGACATCAAAAAATTCAGTTATAAACTCATCATTGTTCCTCTCCACGGAAATCTTTAGTAAAAGGTGAAAGATTTATTCGTTATGAAGAGAAACCAGAGCATTGTCTTGATTTATTTTTAAGACAGAGCCCAGGCTGGAGTGCAATGTCGTAATCTTGGCTCACTGAAACCTCTGCCTCCCAGATTCAAGTGATTCTTCTGCCGCAGACTCCCGAGTAGCTGAGATTACAGGCATCCGCCACCACATCCAGCTAACTTTTGAATTTTTAGTAGAGACAGGGTTTCACTATGTTGGCCAGGCTGGTCTTGAACTCCTGACCACAAGTGATCACCCGCCTGAGCCTCCCAAAGTGCTGAGATTACAGGTGTGAGCCACCGCATCCAGCCCATTTGTCCTGATTTTGTGCTCCTGGAAGCTGGACTCTGTAGGCACGCAGGTGTTTGTGACACTCACTGCTTCCTACTCTTGGGCAGTGAAACCCTTGAGTCTCAGGGGAGCCAGGAGGGAGGGGGCATCTGGAGTGGTGGACAGGAGTGGGAAGCAAATGAGTCCCAGACACAGACACCCCCAGCCCACAGCCACAAGGCTCCTAGGGTGAGAGCCCTGATCTTCAGTCCCCGCCCCTGGGGCTCTGCCCTCTCCCTTCCCTCTCTGAGTGGGGCTTCTTCAGGAGGGAATTGCAGCCTCAACTTTCCACTGCTCAGCCCTGCATCCCTGAAGCCGCTTCCATAAAAAGCCAACACTGCCTGGATGGGAGAGACAGAGAGAATTTTTCCAGAGGATGTGTGTGTGCATTGTTGGGAGCAGAGAGCATTTCGGTGAACACCGGGTCACAGCACAGCCTGACAAATGGCAGGAAGTTCAGGACTTGGGTCTGATATTTTTTGCACAAAGGCCCCATAGCCCAGCCAGGTGAGCTGGGCCCAGGGACAGACACAGGGGCCACCGCCCGGCACTTCCTGCCCTTTGTTGGCCCGTGGGACAGCCTTCCCGGCGCTCCAAATGGCCTTTCTTTGGTGCCTGACTCCTGTGCTTTATTTATGGAGAGGAGCTCCTCAATATAGAAACGGGTGGGCCAGGAGCCGGCGGCAGGATGTGGGAATGCAGACTGGCAGGATGCCTTACAGCAGGGACAGTGTTGCCTAATTGAAAGAATGTGGCCATGGACACCCGATCATAAGCCTGCCTGATATTTATGTATCTGACGAGATGTTCCACACGCTCCCCTGGCACGTTTCAGGGCATCACAGCCCGCCCTGGCATCAGGCCTCCCTGTGGCCCCACCCTTGGGTTCTCATGGCCTGGTTGGCCTCCGCCTAGGTGTGAGTCAGGTCACCTGCCCCAATCCTCCAAGGCTACATGGGCTTCTTGGAGGAAGGGGCCATTTCTTTCTTCTATAGGAGAACCTCTGTTGCTGGCATCCTGAGGATCAGCCAGATACCTGGGGGGTGTGTTTATGGGTAACAGTGCACGGAGGACCCTTTCATGCTCCCGGTCTTTTCTTCATTAGCATCATTTCTGGTGGAATTCTTCCCAAAGGCAACCACACATACTTCTACTGTCTCAGATAGAATACTTAGAACAGATTCTGTGCTTTCTTGGAAAATTGGGGTCTCAGTTCTGAGTCCTGGGTGGAGAGGTACAGAGAGCCCTGACAGGTAGGTTTGAGATCCAGGCTCCTATGCTTTTTTTTGTTTGTTTTATTTTGAGACAGAATCGCGTTCTGTCACCCAGGCTGGAGTGCAGTGGCACGATCTCAGCTCACTACAACCTCCACCTCCCGGGTTCAAGCAATTCTCCTGCCTCAGCCTCCCAAGTAGCTGGGATTATAGGCACATACCACCATACCTGGCTAATTTTTATATTTTTAATAGAGAGGGGGTTTCCCCATGTTGGCCAGACTGGTCTCAAACTCCTGACCTCAAGTAATCTGCCTGCCTCGGTCTCCCAAAGTGCTGGGATTACAGGCGTGAGCCACAGTGCCTGCCCCTAAGCTAACTTTCAAAAACTGATATTGTAAAGGTGGGGTCTTGTTATGTTGCCCAGGCTGGTCTGAAACTCCCAGGCTCAAGCGATCTTCCCAACTTGGCCACCCAAAGTGCTGGGATTACAAGCATGAACCACTGTACCTAGCCTAGGCTAATTTTAGACCACTATTTTTTTGTTATTTTTTTTTTCAATTTTTAAAATTCTTTTTCATTTAATTAAAAAAATATTTAAAATAATTATTTTAAAATAAGGAACGCTTCACGAATTTGCGTGTCATTCTTGCGCAGGGTTCATGCTAATCTTCTCTGTATCGTTCCAATTTTAGTATATGTGCTGCCGAAGCGAGCACGAGACCATTGCCTATGGATCCATCTACAGCAGAAGCTCTTTCTCTTTCAAGTTTCTGACTTCTTGATCTGCTGTAACTATATGCAAATCTAAAGTGAACAGCTCAGAGTAAATATATAAATGCACAGATTTATGTGTGTATCTGAGGCATAATTCTGACTAATCAATGACTTTTTGTTTTCTAATTCTTATTTTTTTCTTTTGTTTGTTTTTTGGTTGTTTTTGTTTGTTGGTTTTTTTTGTTTTTGTTTTGTTTTGTTTAGAGACAGTCTCACTCTGTCTCCCAGGCTGGAGTGCAGTGGTGCAATCTCTGCTCGCTGCAACCTCCGCCTCCCAGGTTCCAGTGATTCTCCTGCCTCAGCCTCCCAATTAGCTGGGATTACAGATGCCTCCCACCACACGTGGCTAATTTTTGTCTTTTTAGTAGAGACAGGGTTTCACCGTGTTGGCCAGGCTGGTCTCAAACTCCTGACCTCAAGTGATCTGCCCGCCTCAGCCTCCCAACATGCTGGGATTACAGGTGTGAGCCGCCACACCGGCCCCTTTCCTAATTCTTGATCCTATCATGGAGAAAAGAAGTTGTCAGAAAGCCGAAAGCACCCAGTATGGTGGCTCACGGCTATAATCCCAGCACATTGGGAGTCCGAGGCGGGCAGACAACCTGAGGTCAGGAGTTGGAGACCAGCCTGGCTAATATAGTGAAAGCCCTGTCTCTACTAATAATACAAAAATTAGCAGAGCATGGTGGCTGACACCTGTAATCCCAGCTACTTGGGAGGCTGAGACAGGAGAACTGCTTGAGCCTGGGAGGTGGAGGTTGCAGTCAGCTAGGATTGCTGCTCCACTGCACTCCAGCCTGGGCAACAGAGCGAGACTCCATCTTAAAAAAGCAAAAAAAGTCGAAAGCACAATGACATACTACTATACCTTGCTAATATATCTCTATTATACCTTTATGGAACACAGTAGGAAATTAATAAATTATTGTTGAATGGGATATCTTCCCTTTCTACTCAAAAATTCGCCCAGGATAGCAGTCTGCCTCATGCAAGTTTATTTCTGAGCAAAAGTGTGAAGTCTGAAGCAGACCAGGCCTGCATGCTTGTTTCACAAAACCCTGCTCCTAACATTCCCTTCCCTTCCTCAAAACCTCTGTCTCTTTCTTGCATGGAGCCTCAGTTCATCATTCCCATGAAGAAAAGGGATGAGGTATTAATTAGGTTATCCTTCCTTCTTAGAATGCAATTTGGAAGCCCCAGACATCTCTAGAGGCCACACAGAGGCATTTCAGGAAGGTGATGCTCAAAAGGCGACAATAACTGGGCCAGGGGTGGTAGCTTACATCTGTAATCCCAGCACTTTGGAAGGCCAAAGTGGATGGATCCTTTGAGGTCAAAAATTTGAGACCAGCCTGGCCAACATGGTGAAACCCCATCTCTACCAAAAAGTACAAAAATTAACTTGGCGTGGTGGCACATGCCTGTAGTCCCAGCTACGTGGGAGGCTGAGGCAAAAGAATTGCTTGAACCTGGGAGGCAGAGGTTGTAGTTACCTGAGAGTGTGCCACTGCACTTCAGCCTGAGTGACAGAGTGAGATCCTTTAAAAAAAAAAAAAAAAAAGATAATAATAACTAACTTTTGCACAGACTTGGAAATTCACAGAGCATTCCACATGCTAGTTTCACCTAATTAGCTCTTCCATCCTGAGATAGTATGGCCCACATATGACAGGCCAGGTAGGGTTGAGCTATTTTCCAGGATAAATTTTCTAGCCAGGACTTTTCTTGGTGTCTTCACGCATCTTAGCTGGAAGGAAGCCAGGATGGTGGGAGATGGCGGTGTTGGGGAGTCAGGGGGTTACCTCTTTCCACGGGGTAAGGACAGTTATCTTTGAGTGGAGAGAAAAAGTGGGGAGGAGGCAGGAGGCAGCAATCTCGGGGTCTGAAGTAAGACCTGAACTTCCTTATGAGAACAAGGCAATTAGCTGTAGGTTCTGGCGCACGTTGTTTGCCATCAGAGTACCCTGGGATTTGGGATCAGAAGCCGCGAGCTGGACTGGAGCCCTGGCAGCCTTAACTGTCTCACCCTGGAAAAACTTAAACTCTCTGGGCTCCCTGTCAATTCCCTTGTCTACAAAAGGAGAATGATAACAGCAACAATATAACAACAACAAGAACAACAATACAACGGCGGCGGCAGCAACACTGCCACGCAGCAATAATACTTGCGCTCCTTCTTCTTCGCAAGGTCAATGTGAAGAACAACAGAGCGCATGCACATGGAAATGCCCTTACGACATAAACCACAATATTCTGGCAGATTGCCCTTGGTTTTCACTCATCCCACAGATACTAATTGAGCACTTACTATGCTTTGGGCCCTGAGTTAAACCCTGGGGATTCAATAAAGAAAGAAAAAGAAAGGTATCCTCAGTGCTTGTCCTCGTGGGATCAGCCACTTCATTCCTTCACAATTCTCTGCTTTGGAACCACTAGGCTGTGGAGCAGGGTGGGTCACCTCTTTAGGCATCAGTGTCATTAACTGTTGTCATTGTTGCTGTATGAATTAAGTGACTTTGGCTGGGTTCAGTGGCTCACACCTGTAATCCCAGCACTTTGAGAGGTCGAGGTAGGCAGATCACCTGAGGTCAGGAGTTCAAGAAGAGCCTGGCCAACATGGTGAAACTCCGTCTCTACTAAAAAAAAAATCACAAAAATTAGCTGGATTTGGTGGCGGGCGCCTGTAATCCCAGGTACTTGGGAGGCTGAGGCAGGGAGAATTGCTTGAATCCAGGAGGCAGAGTTTGCAGTGAGCCAAAATTGTGCCACTGTACTCCAGCCTGGGTGACAGAGCAAGACTCCATCTCAGAAAAAAAAAAGAATTAAGTGACTTAATTATATGAAACATCACATGTGACATAGTGGCTGTCACAGAAGAGGCACTCAGTGATTGTTAGCTTTTTCTCTAAAAGCGTCCTTCAAGATCACACCTCTCTCTGAACAAGAAGACTTAGTCACTGACTAAAATACCTCCCCATGTTCAATGCAGGTGGCTAAGACATTTCAAGGCTCTGCTGCTCCCTGGAGCTCTGAGCTTCAAAGCATTCCATTCACCTTGGTCGTGAGCACGCTCTGTGCTTTGCTCTCCAAATAGACCTAGAGCTTCTGGAAGGTAGGGACTCACCCAGCCAGCCCGGTTCTCCTTCCGTGGTGGGCCCAGGAAGGGACCAGCAAGCTGTCTGCTCTCCAGTCAGTGAGAATGCACTCACAGCTCTGGTTCTGTGAATTTCCCTTCTGGCTTGCCACTGGAGTGTGAAGTGCTCTGACAGCAAGGCCAGGAAGGGTCAGGAAGTGCCTCTGACACTTGCAGTTAAGGAAGGATAATTTAATAGTCTCAGGAACAGTCACTACTCTATTTTCTCTGACAAAACCAGTCCAGGTGTGTAAAACCAGCCACAGAGACTGTGAGCTGCACACTACTCTCTGGCTCCCTGCTTCCAGCTTGTAGGGCCCACCCCAACCCTAGGGAGTGTCTCACATAAGAACACAGTTCTCCAGGCTGGCCACGACCTCCCGCCCTCCCACCATGGTTCCAGGCCCAGATGGCTTCTCTGTGCTAGTTAGGAAAAGATACTGCATGTTCCGGGCAGCCCACGCCCACATCAGGGCACAATCGACCTCATCGCTCCTGCAGTGATGGTGGCCACTAGATGCCATGGGTCAGGGCTACCCTGACCTCGATGGAGCTTCTGGCCATCACAGCCTGGGCCACTGAGGCTACCGTGCCCTCTCAGTGCTCAGTAGAGATGTTACTCAAGATGTTACTCCAGCGCTTTTTTTTTTTTTTTTTTTTT